TTTTTTTTTTTGTGTTTTTTTTTTTTTGTTTTTTTGTTTTTTTGCTTTCTCTTTTTTGGTTTTGTTATTGTTGTTGGGGTTTTTGGGTTCTGTGTGGGTTGAGGTTTTGGTGTTTTTTTCGGTGTGATTTGTTTAGTGATGATGCGTCACCGGTGGGTTACGTTGATATGTCGACGACTGAATTGATGGTTTGGTGGAGTAATTTGGTAATCGATTTCAGTTTGTCGATTAGCTGTTGCAAGTCCTAGTTATTTGTGGGTGGGATCATCTGGTTTGAGATGCTTTCATGACCGAGGGCTTGTGTTGATTAAAGTGCGCTATGGATGCCATTTTTTGGAAGTATATTAGTGTGTATAAGCACAGATTGTTATCATGGTGATGACGCCTTGGTTGAGTGGTTCACTCTTCTCCTGCATAGTTGCAAAGTTCCCTCTAGAAACTCATGATAGTGGTGGAGGGAGTCGGGGGGAATGAGATTGTGAGTCTCGCATAAGCTTATTTGTTATCCTGATGTGGTGGTTTAGAGCTAAGGGGATATCCCGAGGTGTTTGAATTTTGCGGTGCTGGGCTGTTTTCTCACTCTTCAGAGGAATTCCCAACACACCAGATCAGATATTTATATGGGTTTATTTCTGGGAAAAGACACTCTTTTATTCATATATTATTTTTGACTGATTCACTTTCGTATGCATATGCATCCGGGACGGTAATTTATTATTATTTATACCATAACCAGACAGGAACACACACATACGTGCAATATGATAACATATCTTTGACCTCCAGTATCTTGTTTCATATATTTTTGTCTGCTTGCTACAATCAAACATGCCAAACTGATGACTTTGTTATTAGGGATGCACCGAATATCCGAAAATGGTTAAAAAGGCCCTTTCGCTTTCGGCGCGAAAGGGTTCTAGCACCGAAAAAATATCACCGAATGTCAGAGAACAGGGTGGCGTGTTGTTGTGATGACGTAATCAAAACGCGGCGACAAGCACGGCGCGCGACCATGCTCGCGGCTGGCTCACAGCCAACATGTCTGGCGCTTGGAGATATTTAAAAATATCAGAGAAAGAGGCGCGGATTGCGATTTGTAAAACGTGTTCAGCTGACATTTCTCGAGGGGGTGTAACTGCAAAGACTTTCACCACTTCGGGATTACTCCACCACTTGAAATCAAAACACCCGGACAAATATGCGGAGTAAGATCAAATCACAAGCACTGACAGCGAGAGACTGTTCAGCGCTGCCTCTCATGTGCTTGATGAGAAGAGGAACAGACTTATGGCTGATAAAGCAGAGAAGCTACTGTTCATTAAAAATAACCACCCACTTTTCCTTAATAAGTAGACAAGGCTGGCTTATCATAAGCTTATCTAGTTCTACATGTCTACTCTATACCCACTTTCCTGAACAATTTTCATTGTGAGTTATAATTCACCATCTCAGGTTATCATTAGTGGGAAATGACAGCAGCACAGTGTTCAATATATTGTACTTTTTGTATCTAAATGATACAATGTTGTTTACATTGCTCATGAGGACAGACCACCTTATTTGCAGATTCTTGAAATTGTAATTTAATTTGTAATTGATTGTGGATTTTGTATCCAGTTTTCACTTTATGTATCTTTATACAATGTTTACTACTTTGCTTATGAGGACAGACAGCCTTATTTACAGATTCTTGAAATTGAATTGTAATTTCATTTGTAAATAGTTACATTCATGTGGATTTATCCAGTTATGCACATTTGTATGTTGTTGAAGGCCTGGCTGTTAGTCTTTATTTACACTATTTTGTTGTAGGCCTATTGGCCTAGATGTTTATGCAGTTTTAAAGCACCTTGGCTTTGTTCTGAATTTTGTTGTAGTTATCCAACAGAGAAAAGAAAATGCACTTGACTTGGTATTAATTTACTGTATGCATTCAAAAGTGCTGAATAAATGTTTTATGGACCCATAATAGTGATTATTATTTAAGTTAAGTTTTGCCATAATCATGTCTTTTTCCATAATCAGGCAGCTGAACAACATTGGTAAAAAATGTATACATTGTATACATTATATATATATATTTCTATTAATCATTTTCGGCATTCGGTTTTCGGCCAACTGTTTCCTGTTTTCGGTATCAGTTTCGGCCAAGAATTTCCCATTCGGTGCACCCCTACTTGTTATCGATATATTTGAACAATACTTAAAGAAGACTACCTTTTAGATTTATTTGTTTACTTATCTTTATTTATTCAGCAACCAGTTTTTGAGTTTAATGATGGCACTGAAGTAGAGTGAAATTATTCCGTGTGACTATGCCATTTGGTGAAACGTTATTGAAACCTCAACACAATTGTAAAGTTAATTATTGTAATTTTAAGCCGTCTAACAAATCAGAGCAGACTGGCCTCTGGTTTCAGACAGAGGGTGGAAAGAGGTGCTGCAGTATGAGAAAGTAAAGAGATTTTCGAACATTAAAGCGTGGAAACATGTCCCAGTAGAGGCTCAGGAATAAATGTAAAACCTGAAAATAAGCATAATGAAGCCCCTTTTAATAAATATTTGTTTAAAAAACAAAAAAAACAATTGCAGTTTCAGCTGGTCATCCCACCCCTTTGTAAAAAAAATTAAATTAAAAAAAGTTTAACGACTAGAAAATAGCAGTTTTTTTGAAAGCCTCTTCAAAGGTGACTCCCAGCATTTCTACCAAACAACATCCAAACTTTAGTCGTGCACACCGAAATAATGCGTCCTTCACAGTTGGATCTGAGTCAATGTGAGAAGGTTAACACAGCAGCCCATAAAACCTCCGTTCTGGGGGGAGGGAGTTGTAAGGGATCAGTGGCCAAGATGAAGTTCCATCCTGTTTCACAGACCTGCCGGCTTTTTCTGGCTTTACGTTGTACGACATGACGTATGTTCCAGCAGGACAATCAAACATGCATCAAAGTAACGAGGGGCCTGTTGAAAGGCAGAAGAAAAAAGCAACGACTGATGACTTGAACGGGCTCCTCTGCTCCTTAGACCTCATCCCTGTTGAATGTTAACTTTGTTAGAAATATAATTTACCAAAATGCAGTTATTGATTCTTAAAAAATAAATCTAAAGTCACACCGTAAAAATAAAAACTGTTCTAGTTTAATGATATCCGTTTTTTTTTTGGGTCTCCACACAAAACACAGTATTTGAGTTGGATTCCAGAATTTTGATTTATTTCCCTCAAATAGTTTGATATATCAGATTTGAGTCCATCAGCAAGGTTTCTCATAAGAAGATTTGCTGAAATGATTCCATTATCGTCTGTGGTTGAATGCCAGTGTTGTCATGCAGGCCGATGAGTGTCGTTTGAAAGAATGCTGCCGTTTATCTGTTACTCGGATCACAGAAACGTGACCTGATGGACAGGACCTACAAACAATGTGAAAGAGCAGACAGTAGTTTACATTATAATGTTTGTATAAACAACTACTACACAGAGCCTTGATAATCTGATTTGCTTAATGTATTCTTTGTTTTGATTGGCAGACACCAGTCGAGGACGTTCCTCTGGCTATTGCTCCATTCCAGGGTCGAATCCTGGTGGGAGTGGGCAAACTGTTGAGAATCTACGACCTGGGGAAAAAGAAGCTGCTTCGCAAATGTGAAAACAAGGTAGGACATTAGGGCAAGAACCCAAACGTGTGCACACTGTTTTCATTGAGCTCTTGATGTCAATTTGTTTATTTTTATATATAACATACTTTTTTTTCTTAATCACTTGGTTTGATTCAAAAAAAGAAACACCTAGTACTGATAGTAATAATTATATCTATTCATGGCTAAATGCTCTGCATTTATATAGCGCATTCCTCGTCCAAGCTACAAATAGAAGTGCTTACTTGCTGTTTTTATACATTTTAAAAGCCCTTTTGGAATTTAAAAAAAATTGGGAAATATATTCCCCAATAATTGTAACGTCTTAAAGGGATGTCTTACCAATTTACAACGAGCTCTGTCATCATGTGTACAGATACACATATTTTCCTTCTTTCGATATTTTTTGTGTTTTGAATATTCTTTAATGAGTGTGCTTTATTGCTCATTAATTTAGCACGTTCCCAACCTGGTGACCAGCATTCACACCATCGGCCAGCGTGTGATCGTGACGGACGTTTCGGAGAGCCTGTTCTGGGTCCGCTACAGACGCAACGAGAACCAGCTGATCATCTTCGCCGATGACACGTATCCCCGCTGGGTGACCACGGCCTGTCTGCTCGACTACGACACCATGGCCGCCGCTGACAAGTTTGGGAACATCAGTATCGTAAGTTTGGGGAAGGGGAGCGCTGGGTCTGTGCATATCTGACTTATTTTGAACGGGAATGACATTTACACACTATATACAGCTTATGATTTTCATTATAACTTTTAGTTTTATTGTAACAAAAAGAGTTCTGTAGCCCAGTAGGACTGACAAGCTAAATAAGTGCATCCTTTTTTCCCCCATTTCATTTTCTCAGGTGCGTCTTCCGCCCAACACCAGCGATGATGTGGATGAAGACCCCACTGGGAACAAAGCTTTATGGGACAGAGGCCTCCTTAATGGAGCATCACAGAAGGTACATCCATAGATATGTTACGTTTGTCGAGTTTAAAAAGAAAAGCATCTTTATCACATACTTTAGGAACTGGAGCATACCCTTAATAAGGGTTTATACATTTATATAAAGAAAAAAAATGTGTTCTCTATTTCAATGGTAATGCAAGCAGATGTTGTTGAAGTCTTCAACGTGACGTAATCCTGATGGAACAAGTCCACCTTAAAGGGACGGTTTGGATTTGTATGCATTGGGTTGAACGAGGTAACTTTCCATTGTCAGTGTGTACAGTAGTACGCGGTCTGCAGGCAGTTAAACATATGTGAGGATACAGTGATGAAAGAGCGTTTGACCTGCTAATTCCTCAGCATTTATCAGTGATGCAAATTAGTCGCTTTTCGGCGCCTCCCGCTTTTTTACCGCTGATTTGGGTGACTTGTGTAATTCGCGGAGAACCGAAGAGTTTTCGTTTTTTCGTTTTGGGGGGGGGGGTCCGTCCGCCCGTCCGTCAGTCCGACTAACGGACAACTTTTCACTTAAAAAAAGAAGAAGACCGCAAAATAGTTAAACAAGCGAGTGCCTGTTTTTCCTGGCCAAGGGCAGGTTCCTTGAACACAACACGAGCGTAACGTGTCTTCACGTGGTATATGTCTCGTCGGAAAGGAGTGTAGACTAGAGTGCTGACGGAGAGCACCGGAACGCCGCTCCAGCTCTTCAAATATTGCTGTACCCATAAGGAGCCGTACACCCCGCAGTGTTTGCGTGGCTGTCTTTGGTTGTAAGCACAGTGGGGATCTGTTGTTATTAGCATCTGGTTAGCTAGCTATGCTAACGAATTTAAAGAGCTTTTCTACAACCAGGTGGAAGAGAGCTCTCTCCTGAGAGGCTCAAATAACCTCAGCTCAGTGAGGTTAAGGCACACCTTGATATGATCATTATAGTTATTAATGAGACATTAGAGTCTAAATGAAAAACAGGTATAAAATACAATATGACAGTAAAAAAAAGTTTAGTCTAACAAGATTAGAGTTTAAAAGGGGAGTGATTTGTAAAATATCCAAAAAGAAGAATCTGCTTACAGTTCTGTTTCATATGGGTGTTGAGATGTATCCATAGATCTCTTCAGGTGGCTCTCAAAGTGCACCAGATTGATGCTTTTAACTTCAATATTTAAAAAAAAAATCTTCCTGGGGGAGCATGCCCCCGGACCCCGCTAGAGGAGGTAAAGTCCCCCCCACTTAAATCATGTTCACATGGATAGGATACTTAATACATTTGCACACATCTTGTGTCCATATCTTTCTGCCACAACCATGCACGTGCATGCGCGAGTCATGGTAAAATATCTGGATTAAGAGGTAGCTTTCTCTTTGCACAGCATGAAAGAAAGGCCAAATGAATGGGCTGTGATTTTAGTTTTTTTAAGCAGTTCAATAATTGGTACGGCCCTCGGAGGATGTTGTAAAAATTGAAAGGAAAAAGGTTCCCCACCCCTGCTGTAAATAATAATAAAACCCCTTGATTTATAACTTAACATCTCTGTCTCCTATTGATCTGAGTATATTATAAAGAATAGCCAGTTAATTGAAGCATTATAGCGCAGGCCTTTGTCAGATGGTATATTACGCTGTTTTTTTTCTGCTTCGAATAGTTCTCTCTTTTTTCACCATACGTGTGTTTGCATCCCTGATTTATGTGTAAGGCAGGAATGTACAGAGGGCAAAAAGTGAGTCTTAATTTTGAAACTGTGGCTTCAGGCTTTGAATTTCTGTTAAACCCCAGCCGCACAAGTTTATACATTTCAAGCAGAATCTGCCTCCTCCACTGTTCTGACCTCTAACCGCCGACACACAGAAGCTCAACACACACGCACATACACAAACTGCATAACAGAGTGAACCACAGGTTTAACCTTCTCAAAAACACAAAGTGTGTACACACACTCACACTGATTGAAGAAACACACACAGTATCACTCATCCCATATTTAAATTCTGGTCAGAAACTGTTTAGGTAGCAGATGGACTGGGAAAGTCCCTCAGATTTAGACGATGTGAGTTTGTCCCAGTTGTCTTTGGGACACAGACTTCGTCGGCTATTTTTGCCTCTGCGCACATTGATTGAAAATGTCCTGTGTCTGCATTTCAACGTGAGTGTGCAAGCATGGATTTTGTCCCTCTCCGAAAGTCGTGTGTAACATCTGGGTCGAAGAACTTAATTATCCATACATGGATCCTTCAATATTAAATTAGATGCATTCCGCTTTGATTTGATTAATGTATCTCAGAAGATCAAGGTCAGGGAGATGCAGCCGTTTGTTGAGCACAATGAAAGGACTTACTGTCTTTACCCCAAATGTCACATAGCGCTAGGAGGGGGATATTATTCTGTCATGTTTTTTTTTAAGTCTCCTGGGTCGCCTTAACACTTGAGACAAAAACATTGTCTGAGGCCTGCTGCTTAACCTTTGTAGGCTGGATGAGCCTGAGTCCCCTACAGCGGCAAATATGTCAACGACATCTCCGTGCAATGGATAACCTGACAGAGATGCTAGCATTGCTCTATACTCTTAGTTTGTTAGACAGTGAACACCCACAGGGAAATGAGAAATCAGTGATTCATAGATTTGTCGCAGATCTCAGACAGACTTCGTTTTTGTAAACTTCTGTCTCCGCTGTGTCTTACGTTTGTGCTTTCCTGGTCTCTTGGCACCTGTATGTACTTTGTTCACTCGGCTCAGACTAATACTGAGGTTTTATTGCTCCCAAATGCTGCCTTTGTATCCACTGTACTTGCTGATTATTACCTCTAATTATGGGCAATGCGGTTTTTTGATGGTTATTGGATTACATCTGACCATCCGGACCAATTTCCTCCTAAGCACAGGGTGACTGCGTGTCTTCTTGATTTGTCATGTCTAAACTAACCCCCAATTATTTTCCATTAGGCTGGATGGACAAATGTAGTCACTGACAGGAAGTTAAGAGGTCATTGAAGCATCGTTCTAGTCTTTCTATGCCACCAAGCTAATTGTAAAAGCTGTGTGTATTTTTAAATTAAAAGCCAGATATATTCATGTCAATAAGACTAGGGGTGCTCCGATCGGGCATTTTTGGCCCCAACGCCGGAATCAGCCTCTCCGATCGGGTTGGTGGGGGCTATGGGTATCTTCCATTTAAAGTGATGTTTAAAACTCAGTTAATGGGGCTCATTTTTATATTGCCTCAGTTTATAATCGTAACAGATCGAAAAGTTCAGATTAATTTTTCAATAAATGATGCGCTTCCACAAACAGCAACCAACATAATTATTACATTCAAATTAAATACATTATAAAAGTTTACACTAAAGGGGACCTATCATGCAAAATGCACTTTTGTACGTCTTTTATACATGAATACACCCCGGTGTGTCAGGGAACTCACCAAGTGTCAGAAAACACAACCCTCTTTCTTTTCCTCGGTACCCAAATCTCTAAAAACGGGGCTGCAACGGATCTGATACAGATTTGAATTGTTCTGACGTCAGAAAAGGGGTGCTCCGCCTATATGGGCAACTCTCCACGGCCATTGCCGCTCGAAAGCACAGGAGTCCCATTTTCTCCCCTCTCTCTCTCTCCTGACAGCCCGTCAGTATCTCATGCAGCTCACTGATCCAGTAATGAGTAGGGATGTAACTATACCAAAAACTTGCAGTACGATAATATCGCGATTTAAAAAGTTCACGGTACGATATTTATCACGATCTTGAAAAATAAAGAAAAGAAAATGTGATTATTTATTTTTTTAACTTGAATTTTTTTTCTTTATTAAATAATAAATCTGATGTGTACAGCATTTTAGTAGGATAATAGTATTTTAAAGTGTCAACAATATAATAATCAGACCCTGCAATAGAATAAATCAAGTTTCACTTTAGTTTTTCAAGTAACTCAACTCTAACTCACTCACTCAGCATCATCAAGGTTATCTTTTAGGAATATGAGCATGTCCACATCTCCAGGTAGAAGCTGGGATGTTTGGGCGTTTACAATATCCCCTGCTGTGGAAAAAAATCTTGCTTGGTACTGATGTTGCTGGGACAGAGAGATATGCTTTGGCCATGGGTGACAGCAGTGGGTAAAACTGTGCATTGTCTCTCCACCACTTCAAAAACAATACAGTCTTTGCCAAGAAGGTGAGGCTTATTGACAGGGCGAGATATAAATATACTGTTGGTACTTGTCAATGTCTCTAGGTATGTACATGTAGCCCTGGAAATACCATGTCCTTTTGTGTTATCTGTTGTTTTATGTTCATGTTGTAACCTACTTGCTGCCATGTTGGACAGGTCTCCCTTGAAAAAGAGATTGATGATCTCAATGGGACCATCTGGTTAAATAAAGGTTTAAAAAAATATATATATATATTTTAAAACAATTGTTTAAATCGCGGTAGATTTTGTCAGTCTCACGACGGCATTGAGACATTTACTTACCACGATATATCGTTAAATCCCTAGCAAATACAGTTTTTAAGTGAAATGTATGTTTCTAAAGATAAATGCATATGTTGTAAGTTTTATTCAACTATTCAGAAAAAGATGT